CCAAGCCAAGGCTCAGAGAGGCGGCTAGCTCAGAAACAGAGGCCATTTTATATAGGGCTAAGGTGGGGTTTACACTCAAAACTTACAGGAAGAGGAGAAAGGCAAAGAATCAGTTGATCTGAGCTAGTGGTCATCAAGCATATACTTGACCGTCACGTACTAATGATCAGCAGAGCGATTATCCATTATTCCATTTACAATTTAGATTATAATGTTCAGAACATTCAACTACAGGCAAGTAAGGAGTGGCGTGATTTGTGTTGGGTCTCTGTGTTCACTACAGTTTCCATTTAGTTTCCCAGCTACTTCAAAGCAGTTACCTAACAATTCACAATTAATCATTAGTTATCCTATAAGGGATGCGGGGGGAGCGACAGTCTCTGGGTCATTTGCTGGTCAACATGGAGTCGCTCTGGTTCAGTCAGGCTCTTACAAGACAAGATCTCACTATGTAATTCAGGCTGGCACTGGACTCACTATGTAGCCAAAGCTGGCCTCAAACTCGCAGCAATCCTCCTGCCTCAGCTTCCCAAGTGCTAGGACTATAGTTGTGCACCATCACATATGGCAAGATACATTTTAAACATTTAAGTGTATTCTGGTAGGTACTAGGAGGGACAAGAAACTGGGGCTCTGTTTATTTATTTAATTCCCACAGCAGCTTTCACATGCCCATTTTACAGATGGGCAACTGAAGGTGGGCACTTGACAAACAAAAAGACAAGCTTCGGCAAAGGAGGATGAACATTCTCAGAAACAAAGCAGAGGCCAGTGGCTCTCAAACATCGCTGATGCTTTGGAGAGTCTACCTGGGGGTTAAACTCAAGATCATGGGCTGAGGCCAGGCGTGGTGGCACACGCCTATAATCCCAGCACTGGGGAGGCTGAGGCAGGAGGATCACTGTGAGTTCAAGACCAACCTGGGCTACATAGTGAGTTCCAGGTCAGTCTCAACTACATAGTGAGACCCTGTCTCAAAAAACCCAAAATAAGTAAATAAATTTAAAAAAGAAAAGATCATGGGTTAAAGTCAGTGACAAACCACACGTGATCTAGTGGGACTGGGCAATATGGAAATGTCACTGAGGTGGCATTAGGAAGACCAAAATACCTAGCTCTGCCACTTGCTGGCTGTGTGATCCTGGGCAACATCAGTTTCCTGATTTGTAAAATAAGGGTGAGAATATAGAATTGATATAAAATGGGTTTCCAAGATTACAGTGCTTCCAGGATTACTAATGCCTATTAAACACTAGTACAGTTACTAGCCAGCAATAAGGGCTAAGTGGACAAAAAACAAAAAAAGCCCTTTCCCACACCATTTGTGCAATTTACAGGGAACTGCTCTTGAGACTTAACCCATTAGGCACCATTGTTGTTAGTACTCTCATTGTACGGGTGCAGATGCTGAAGCCAGTGGGATTGCATGGCCTCTTCTTGCCTCAAATGAAGGAGCTAACAAATGGCCTGGAGATTCTGCCACCTCACGTGCTGGTGAAATAAGATCCAACCTTCAAGAAGAGCACCCCTCACTTAAGGGGCTTTCAGCTGGATGCCAACCCTCCATGCTCTCCGTGTGGCATCAACTCATTACACTGTTCAAGCTGTCTGAGCTAAGACAGTGAGTAGTAAGAGTATGGTTATACACTGTTTCTTTTTTCTTTCATTTATTTATTTATTTATTTATTGGTTTTTTGAGACAGGGTCTCACTACATAGTTGAGACTGACTGACCTGGAACTCACTATGTAGCCCAGGCTGGTCTCAAACTCACAGCGATCCTCCTGCCTCAGCCTCCCCAGTGCTGGGATGACAGGTGTGCCCCACCATGCCTGGTGGTCATACATTGTTTAATGGAGGAAAAGCATACTGTAGGTGATTAGTTGTTGTATAGATAACATATACTCACGCAAACCTGAGTGATCTAGCCTACTACGCACCTAGGCTATATGATAGACACCATCACAGACTGAAATCACCTTATGTGGTGCATGGCAGTACTTATTTATTCCATAGGATCGCTGATAATTTTTTGTGGTGCATCGGGAATTGAACCTGACACATTCTACCCCACCCCCTTTTCCTGCCTTTGGACTCAAACTGAAATCATAGGTCTTTCTTGAGTTTGGCCACCTTCAGACTGGAGCCATATGGGCTGTTGCAGGTCTTCAGCTTGCCGAATGCAGATCTCAGGACTTGTTAAGGGGCCAGCTGTGCAGGGCATTGGCAGAACACTGGCCTAGCATGTTTGAGGCCTGGGTTTGACCCCAGTACCCCCCACACACATCAGTCTCCATAGACATGTGAGCCACTTCTTTATAACAAATCTGTGTATCTACCTACCTTTTTATTCATTCTGTCTCTGGAGAACCGTGACTAATACAGGAATGACTCTAAGGACTAAGTCAGCACATCATTGATATACATGTGCTTCTTAGTTTAAAAGATAAATAAAAATATGTTCTTGGGACACAGCCCCAGAATTCAGATTCTTGAAAGTGGGGTTGTCATAAAGAAGAGATCAGGCACAGTGGCGCACGCCTGTAATCCCAACACTTGGGAGGCTGAGGCAGGAGGATTGCCCCAAGTTTGAGAGCAGCCTGGGGGACACCTGTAAACAGATGAAGCTCTCTGCCCTCTGCTTCCCTCCTGCTGTGTGGCCCATTCCTAACAGGCCACGCATAGATCTCTTGCTCCACATCATTTTACCACTGTAACCATTTTGCTTCATCATGTACCGATCCATCCATCCATCCATCCATTATGTCATACCACATTTTGTTTTAAAAATCTGTAATTTTTAGGGCCAGGGATTTAGCTCAATGGTGCCGCACCTGCCTTGCAAGTGCAAGGTCCTGAGTTCAGTCCTCAGTACCAAAACAAAACAAATCCAAATTTTGTAATTTTTAATGTACAAGTGTTTATCATTTTTATTAAGTTTTTAAAAATTAGTATCCGGGTTGTTTTTGTGTATGTGCGTTGGGATGGAATCCAGGGCCACGCACGCGCTCGGCAAGGGTCTACCACTGGGCCACTCCCCCCAGTGTGACTTTTTATTTAAAAATTATTGAAGATCATTTCCATTTTGGAACAAAATAAGAAGGTAATTTATCAAAATCATTTGGTAGGGCCAGGGATTTAGCTCGGTGGTTCCACCGCCTGCCTCCCAAGTGCAAGGACCTGAGTTAGATCCCCGCTACTCAAAAAAAACCCCAAAAATCATTTGGTAGCAGGAAACCCTCAGAAATGGTCAGAGCAGAAATTCAGGGCCCCTGTGGACACCGGCCTTTTCTCCTGTCTCATCCCTGGGCTCTCCAGAGCTGGAACAGTGCCTCTTCACAGAGATGTGTGATAACTGCTTTGCAGAGTGAAGGACTCATGTTAACCACAGGTATTTAGCCGGGATGAAAATACCAGTTTTCTAATCAGGAATCCTGGTCCTGAAGGAGCTGGCCCGTGGGCTTGGGGCTCTCACCCCTCCCAGGCCAGGCCAGGAGGTGACCCTGAAGTGTGGGACCTGTCTCCCAAGGCCACAGGCCCACACTGGCTCCGGTCTTAGGAATTTCTCCCCACATTCCTCACGTGTCTGGCATAGTTCAGCCATTTGTTTTTAATCTGACTAAATAGCCCATCCGCAGCCTTAGCAGTTTTTCAGGGAAACCAGCATAAATATTGTTATTTATTCCATTTACAATTGGCAATTAGGTTTCCTCTCAGGCACCAGAATGGAATTCAAAGCACTCAGTTAAATAAACCAGACTAATAAAGGCAGCCTGCTTTTCTCTCCAAAACATCCTTTAAAAAAAAAAAAATTGCTTCTTGGGCCGCAGATTTAGCTCAGTGGTGCTGGCACCTGCCTTGCAAGCGCAAGGACCTGAGTTCGATCCCTGGTACCAACAAAACAAAACAAACAAACAAAATGCTTCTCAAGAAAGATGCAGAACTGGGCCTCAGTCCTCCTCACGCTCACTAAATGACTTATATTGTAGGAGAGAGGGTTGAAAGGACCCCCAGAGATATGGCATCTCTGTGTCCCTTTGTCTATCACTATGTGATCTGGGCAGGTTATTTGACTTCCAGGGCTTCAGCTGAAATGAAGAATAGGAGGCCTGGATGGTTCTAACCATCTATCAAAGGCCCAGTCCACTTCTTGGGCCAGGCAGGATGGCTCTCAGGTGGCAAACGGAAGGAAAGAGAGAGAGAGAGCGAGAGAGAGAGAGAGAGAGAGAGAGAAAGAGAGGATATGATTATGACAGGGACTCAGAGGCTGGGCCTGTAGATGCCAAATGAGATACTAGAAGCAGTATAAAGCTCTACGTCTCTGCCTTATACCTGCCTCCTTTTTTATTACCTTTAGAACCTGGGTTACAACCTGTGCAGTTCTGCACATAGGCATATTAATCACTTGAGTAGTACAAGGTTTACCAGCCCTAAATGCAGCCAGCCCAACTCTTCTCCTTGTAAGACTGAGGATACTAATATATGGGTAATTAAGGCATTTTCAAGATTTGCAAGGCTCGGTGCCAGTGAC